TAATGATTCTTGTCCTCGTAACCTTTACAATCAACTAATTAGAATCTCCCACGTAAAAATGCGTGAGCCCGGTGTCAAAACTACCGAAAGTGAGCTTCGATATAAACCCACGGTAGAAGAAAGTGCTCGCCCACCAGAAGTATAAATCCAAAAATAGCATATCCCACAAAGACGGGATTGGAAAAAAAAATATTATAACCCATAATTAATAAAATGTTAGACAAAGGAGCCTACTTCCCATAACTAGTCTAACAATAATACAAAGCAAGCTTATGAATAAATATGCGCATTCAAGTACATCGTATGATCTCCTTTGAACCTGGATGGAGTTAATAATTTACACACACGCCAAGTCTAAACCTATTTTCCGTCAGATCATTGAGGTTACGCCTACATCATATATATCACATTTACAAAGACATCCAGCTTGCATCCATAGGATACAGATAAATGAACAAAAACGTATGTTAGATTGGTTATAGACGTGTGTGTGTGTCTGTGTGTGTGTGTGTACATATACCACGGAAGTGTTTCCGCGAACACACCCACGTGTCTTTTCTGTGAACATCAGCTGAAAAATGAGTGACCAGTGAACTACAACCAAGTTGGTATTGATGTCAAGAGAGCCGGTAAGGTAACATCTCTTGATAGAAATATCTCGAGGTAACACGATCATGACTTGCCAGTCTACACCGGTCTGGTGGTTAACTTTGACGCTTTAACCTGAAGCGTCCACTGGTGGTACCACTGGCACCACTGGCAATAGCAACAACACCATCAACAACAACAACAACAGTGTACACATTGAGCAACTGGTTGGTTAGTCTGAGGATGATAACATCTCCAGACTCCAGACGGTCGTTCCTCTTGACTCGTTCGCGGCTGGTTATACGCACTCGTGTGTCGGGTTGCTGGTGTGTGTTGGTTGGGTATCAGTTAAACGTCACTTGACGGTCTATCGACTCACCGGGCTTTTGCAGATCCACACTGTTTCTCGGCATGCCTCCAATATAACTGATATGCCTCTTAAGTTGTAAGTTATAACCGGTACCAATATGCACAAACGCTTGCAAAGTAACATACCGAGAATGTGGATTGGTAGCTGCATTACGGGCACCAATCCTCCGGTTGATTAACACCGTGCCACATGTTTAAGAGCCATTTTATAGTCGTTGGCTCAGGATCTAATGGGTTGGTTAGCATCTTCTGTCTCTGGTGTAATAAGGACGCATCAACATCAACATTAAATATATATATATATATAT